GGAGGCCGACCAGGAGGCCAACGGTCCAGCAGTCCAAAATCCATGAGCTCAGGGGGCCGACCCGGAGGCCAACGGTCCAAGAGCCCAGAAAACAGTTCAGGAGGCCGGCCAGGTAGAAGGCACCGGTGGCGACGAAGCAGATCAGGAGGCCGACCGGGCGGGAGGCAGCGACGGCGACCGAGCAGGTCAGGAGGCCGGCCGGGCGGGAGGCACAGGTGGCGTAGCAGTTCAGGGGGCCGTCCATGACGGCGGCGTAGGTCAGAGGGCTGTCCATGACGGCAACGACGTCCAGTCATCGGCCGGACAGAACGTGCAGGACGAGCAGGCCGGACAGGATGTGCAGATCGGACCGGACGTGCAGGACGAGCAGGCCGGACCGGACGAGCAGGACGTGCAGGACGTGCAGGACGAGCGGGACGTGCAGGACGTGCAGGACGAGCGTGCAGGACGTGCAGGACGAGCAGGCCGGACGGGAAGTGCAGGAGCAGACGAAGCTGAACACTCGGAGGCCGGACCAGGCGGAGCTGCAGAGGCTGAGGCCGGACCAGGCGGAGCTGCAGAGGCTGAGGCCGGACCCGACGAGGATGAAGACTCTGACGAAGCTGGACCAGACGAGGATGAAGACTCTGACGAAGCTGGACCAGACGAGGATGACGACTCTGACGAAGCTGGACCAGGTGACGACGAGGCGGCCGCAGGTGGCGGCTGAACGGTCCCCTCGGACCCTCCAGCTGACGAGGCATGAGGCTGGACGGGCTCCTCGGGCCCTCCAGCTGACGAGGCAGGTTGCTTTTCAAGTTGCAGCAACACACAGTCTATAGTGGGTGAAATGAGTTCGTATGAGTTCTCAGACTGAGGTGTGGCAGAACCAGGTGAGGCGTCGTCCTCAGGCTGAGGCGTAGAAGCAGCAAGCAGTAGCGCAGCAGGTGGTGGTCCTGCAGGCGGCGGCACGGGAGCCGCAGGAGGTGGCGCTGCAGCCACAGGTGGTGAAGCAGAAGGTGGCCAGACGGGCTCCTCAGGCCCTCCAGCTGACGAGGCGTGAGGCTGGACGGGCTCCTCGGGCCCGCCAGCTGACGAGGCGTGAGGCTGGACGGGCTCCTCGGGCCCGCCAGCTGACGAGGCGTGAGGCTGGACGGGCTCCTCGGGCCCGCCAGCTGACGTGGCGTGAGGCTGGACGGGCTCCTCGGGCCCGCCAGCTGACGTGGCGTGAGGCTGGACGGGTTCTCCTGAACCTCCAGCAGACGAAACGTGAGGCTGGCTGGGTTCTCCTGAACCTCCAGCAGACGAAACGTGAGGCTGGCTGGGTTCTCCTGAACCTCCAGCAGACGAAACATGAGGCTGGCTGGGTTCTCCTGAACCTCCAGCAGACGAAACGTGAGGCTGGCTGGGTTCTCCTGAACCTCCAGCAGACGAAACATGAGGCTGGCTGGGTTCTCCTGAACCTCCAGCAGACGAAACATGAAGCTGGCTGGGTTTTCCTGAACCTCCAGCAGACGAAACATGAGGCTGGCTGGGTTCTCCTGAACCTCCAGCAGACGAAACATGAAGCTGGCTGGGTTCTCCTGAACCTCCAGCAAACGAAACATGAGGCCGGACGGGCTCCCCGGGCCCTCCGACTGACACTGAAATTGGCTGCACCAGCTGTACCTCCGTCTCCAAACCGGCCTGGATAGCAGTCCCACAGCAGCTTAGCTGAGCCTGATGGCTAGCTTTTCCAGGGCAAACAGTCTCTGTATAGCCGGGCTCATTAACCGGAAAAGTAGTGTCAGTTTCCATAACCTCCGGAGAAAAAACATGAGGTGCCAAGATATAATCACTCACTTGTGTTTGTGTAATGGAGCGTCGGCGGCGCGCACGCCGCTTTTTCTTAGGAGTGGAAGACGGCGGTGAAATAGGTGGAAGTCCCTGGTAACTCCGAGGTCCCCGAGAGCCAGTCGAGTTCCCCGGAAAGAGTGCTCGTGCTCCGGAATGAGCCACGGCTTCCACCGGAGCTCCTCCTCCAATAGAGCGCAGTATATCGACTGACGCTCGTCGTGATCTAAATCAACGGTGTCCAGCGCTTCCTCGCGCTGGACCGTGGCAGGAGTATGGCGAGACTGTGATGAGGGCGTGGAAACTGGTGAGCTGAGAGGTGGTGACGCTGTGGCGAATCTCAGCGAACCGACACGAACACACTCAGGTTCCGGAGGCAGCAATGGAGATGACTGATTGTGGGGTTGTTGTGACTGGTGGGTGCTGGAAGCCATTTCCTGACTCGACAGTCCCTGGGCCTGCAGCATCTCCTTTATCCTGGTAAAGGCAGCAACTATGGCAGGTGAGTCCGGGAGCTGGAGAAGGCGGGGATCCCTCTCCATAATAGCTTCAGCAACGTTAACCATTACCTGCTTGCTCTTTAAATCGGGCGCTGTAAAGATGCGGTCGAGGATCACTTGGATCCGAGCAGTCTCCTCCAGACACTCGGTGAGAGCAGCATCCGCTGGGTCCATACTGGTCGGTTCGTTCTGTCACGGCGGGGTGCGCCGATGTGTGTGGAAACAGGACCCAAAAGCAGATGATGACGAGGAATTGTAATGATTAACAGAAAGGTGAACCTTTAATGCGAAGACGGCAGGGAAATGAACCAAGAGACCAAAAACAAACAGGCAAAACACTAAGAAACAAAATACTAAATGGTACTGAGACCAAAACCTAAACTATGACTGTGGTGGAAAAATAATAAACAAAGACCATGACTAAGACTAATAATACATAACAGATGAAAACTAGAACTATGACTGAGGTGAGGTAAACAGGCTAAGACCATGACTAAAACTGTGACCCTGGTGAGATAAACAGACGAACCGACAATGGCATGAAGAAAACAAAAAGCTTAAATACAGACATGAGGTGATCAGGGAAGTGGGACACATGGGGGAACAGCTGACAGACATAAACCTAATGACAGGACCAGGAGAGAAAGCTAAATACAATGAACAAAGAACACATGACATTGTCAAAATAAAACAGGAAATACTAACAACTAAACATGACAACACAACAGACCCAACACGTGATGAATAAATACCAAACCCCAAAACATAGAAAACCCAGGAACAATAACCAATAACTGCCTAAACTAAAGGCAAAATAGGAAATAACACAAACTAATAACATATCAAAAAATACAAAGAAAACTCAGAGTGCTGGGTCGGAGACCCAGCCTGTGACAGTGTGTCGATAATGAACACATAAGTGTGTTCACTACACATAAGTGTGTTCATTACACTGACATTCTGTTGTACAATTGTTATTTACTTGTATTTTATAATTTGACTTTACATACTGCTGGGTGGTTTATAAAGTTTACAATAATTAGTATTATCATTTTGCTATATTTTCTAATATGTATAATAATCTCAAAAGTAATGCCTTGAAACAGAAAATAGTAATACTTTATTAAAACTTAAAACTAAAGTACAGTAAACGTCTTAATAATAAATTCCATATTCTATTACCACATTATTTGTGATCAGTGGGTTTGCAGGGTTAGGGGTGTTGGGGGTAGGGTCTTTAGGCTTTGGCCCCCACCCCTGCCACCAGTATATTTTTAACCAAGTATTTCTAACTTTTATTTGAATATTCAGTTTCCTACCATCTGCTCTTAAAGGGTAATTGCCAGGTAACCCGCCCTCCCCCTTTGCACACACATGTACACAAACAAAACACACAGTATAATTCACACTATAATTATAACAAATATGTATGCCATTTTACACCATCAAATTTAGATAGCTAAGGATGAAGAACCTTTTGTTCTTTAAAGAACCATTTGTAGTACCTAAAGAACCATCTACAAAATAAAAAGGTTCTTTGACATATGATGGTTCTTTAAAGAACCATGAAGACATCTGAAGAACCATTTAAGAGCCATAATTTTTCTGAGAGTACCAGGTGGGCCAGCAGGTATGGCTCTCAACCAAACACATTCCACTCAAAACTGAATCAAAGATTATCCACAGCGCCCCGGCATACTCCATCACCCGCATTATGGATGCTAGGCATCGCGGTAGAGGTTTTCAGTTTTTGGTGGATTGGGATGGGTATGGTCCGGAAGAGCGCTCCTGGGTGCCGCGGTCCGCAATTCTCGATGATGCCATGGTGAGAGAATTCTGCCACCGGCACCCTTACAAGTTTGGTGGGTCGCCGGGTGGCTCGCGTTAGAGGAAGGGGTACTGTCAGGGTCGGACGGTGCCCCGACCGGTCAACCTGCTTGTGTGTATATGTGTGTGTGTGTTTTCCTCTCTCGCTCTGTTTCCCTCCGCTGTGGTGTTTACGGAGGTCGGATAGCAACGAGGGACCTCCGACAGAATACGATCATGCAAAAGAAACTAGCCAGTGGTTATTACAGAGAGGATAAAGATAAGGCCTGTGGACCAGAACTGGGACCTACAGGTCTGGCTGATGGTTTAAATAAATAATTGTGAATGTTTCACAGCGCAGCAGGAATCTGGGCTGTGTTCAGGTAAGGCAGAGGACTGATGCTCAGACAGGACCTGCTGTGATAGTTCTGCTGTAATAGTTCTGATGTAACAGCTCTGCTGTGACGGTTCTGCTGTAACCGTTTTGCAGTAACCATTCTGCAGTAATGGTTCTGCTGTAATAGTTCTACTGTAACAGCTCTGCTGTGATGCTTCTACTGCTACAGTTCTGCAATAACAGCTCTACTGTGACGGTTCTGCAGTGATGGCCCTGCTTTAATGGCTCTGCTGTGACGGTTCTACTGAAACGGTTCTGCAATAATGGCTCTGCTGTAACGGTTCTGCTGTAACAGCTCTGCTGTGACAGTTCTGCAATAACGGCTCCTCAGTAATGGTTCTGCTGTCATGGTTAAGCTCAGTAGAAGTGTTTAGGTTCGCATTGATTTGTTTCAGGGTTGTTGTTATGGTTGTTGCTATGGTGATTAGCACTCTGCTCTTTGGCCTGTGGGCAGCGCTGCCACACCCAGTGCCACACAGACTCACTGTGGGTAGTACTGGTTGACCCAGGACAACAGGTAGCTGCAGTCATCGTCGTCCAGCCCTGCAGCGGTGAGCTGAGTGAGGTGGGCCGAGAACTCCTGATGGTACAGGCCGGCGTAGAGGTTCATGATGTCCATGTGAGGAGGGTAGCAGTTCTTCACCCTCCTCACCACCGTCAGCAGGTCTTCCTTCACACATCTTCCCACTCGACACACCTGGACAGGTTCATCGAACAGGGAGTAGGGTAAAAACTCTCATCAAACCCCGTATTAACATTAATCGACTGTCCCAACCAAAACAAAAAGGGGGATTAGTCCTGCCCAATATAGATTATTAAAGCATACTTTTGAAATGGCTAGATTAGGCAAACATTGAGCAGAGAAAAACAAGATAAACTGGATTTTAATTGAATAAGAATAATTTTAATTTATTCAGTAAAAAATCTTAATATATATTATTATACTCCTTCAAGGCTGTATAGAATGGGTGTTGGTAGAGAGGACTTGTGTTGGAAATGCCAACAAGCCAAAGGTACTGATACATGCCCCCTGAATGCCCGCTGTTTGTTTGTTTTTTCAGTTTGGAACACTGTATTGAATTATATGCAGGGATGGAAGGTTTGTAACTTGCCCAAATCACCTAAATTATGTCTACTAGGAGATAAAAGAAAGGTGCCACAATTAAATAAACACCAGTTTAGAGTGTTAAGCACTGCACCAGTAACATGTGCCTGTGTCATTTTGGAATACTGAAAGGACACCTATACTCAAATGCTTAAAATGTGGCCAGAATGATTGGGAACTTTACTTGCGAAAAGATGTTGGGAAGGTAAGATCATGTGACGGAAGCTTTGGTGGAACAATGGGGCAATTTCTGCACCTACATGTCTACCTGACTTTTTGTTTTGTTCTTTTTGTTTGCTTTTTTCTTGTTCTCTTTTGTTTTTGTTTTGATTTTTTGCTTCTTGTTTTTGGTTGTTGTATTTTTGTATTTGTTATTATAAAATGTAAAATCTAATAAATAATTGAATTTTTAAAAAAAAACTCTCATCCAGCTCAAACTGAGTACCAGCAGAGCTCCTCCCACACCTCCTCCCAGGTGACTAACCTGTCTCTTCACAGGTGAAGAGAGCCAGTCGGTTCCTCCCGAGGTGTCTTTGGCAGCCTCCTTTATTCGGCCCTCCACCATGTTCTGGAGCAGTATGTTGTGGATGCTGAGACATTTCTGAGGACGCCATCTTGGGACTCGCTCCTCCTGACAGTCTCTCCAGTGCCGGTCCTGCGCCTCCTGCTGCTGGATAGACACCATGGCACTCCTCAGGACCTTCAGCTCCCCTGCAGAGGAGGAGGGGGTGAAGGTGTCATTGATGGCCATCCACAACTTCAGTTGCAGAGCCTCGAAGTCTTTGTGCAGCTCGTCCTCCTCTTCCTCATTGACCGAGTCATAGCTGAACAGGTCCTCCTCCCTCTCTATCAGCCTCCTGCTTGATTCTTCCAGCTGCTCCTCCTTCTCCACTTGCACCTGCTTGACCTCATCCCCTGAAGAAAACAGAAAGCATCAGAAGCAAAAAACCACAGGAGCTAAATCCATCAACAGATCAGGTCCTGCTAGCTCTCATTCTTCATGTGAACCAAACACCTGCAGTTCCTATGACATCCAGCAGAAACAGCAGTGAGTCACCCCCATAGACTCCCATGTTAAAACTTCACAGCACAAATAAACATATTTACAGCCTGATAAACAAACAGTTTGGTCTTTTCCTTCATTGCACATGAATGGGGTGGTGGGGTCTTTATACTTCCCCTGTTTATTAGGGGAGTCGCCTATTTTCACTGACACAGGAGACTATCTGATTGTTCAGTCTGACGTCACTAGCCGCGTCTGGGTCTAAACTCCGCTGCAGGTCCATATATCAAACGATCACTATGGCATTAATGAGAGTTGAAAAACTGTCTAAAGTCTTTCATCTTTAATAAAATGATCAGCGTTCTGCTCTACCAGGTGTAACAATTGAGTTTAACATCCAGGCATCCATGAAAACGGAATTTATGACATTTAACGGAGTTAGAAGTTAGCAGGGAGTTAGCTCGCTAGCTTCTATCTACAGTGGGGCAAAAAAGTATTTAGTCAGCCACCGATTGTGCAAGTTCCCCCACTTAAAATGATGACAGAGGTCAGTAATTTGCACCAGAGGTACACTTCAACTGTGAGAGACAGAATGTGAAAAAAAAATCCATGAATTCACATGGTAGGATTTGTAAAGAATTTATTCGTAAATTAGGGTGGAAAATAAGTATTTGGTCACCTCAAAGAAGGAAAATCTCTGGCTCTCACAGACCTGTAACGTCTTCTGTAAGAAGCTTTTCTGTCCCCCACTCGTTACCTGTATGAATGGCACCTGTTTGAACTCATCATCTGTATAAAAGACACCTGTCCACAGCCTCAAACAGTCAGACTCCAAAATCCACCATGGCCAAGACCAAAGAGCTTTCGAAGGACACCAGGAAAAGTATTGTAGACCTGCACCAGACTGGGAAGAGTGAATCTACAATAGGCAAGCAGCTTGGTGTGAAAAAATCAACTGTGGGAGCAATCATCAGAAAATGGAAGACATACAAGACCACTGATAATCTCCCACGCAAGATCTCATCCCGTGGGGTCAAAATGATCATGAGAACGGTGAGCAAAGATCCCAGAACCACACGGGGGGACCTGGTGAATGACCTGCAGAGAGCTGGGACCAAAGTAACAAAGGTCACCATCAGTAACACACTACAACGGCAGGGAATCAAATCCCGCAGTGCCAGACGTGTTCCGCTGCTGAAGCCGGTGCATGTCCAGGCCCGTCTGAAGTTTGTCAGAGAGCACATGGATGATACAGCAGAGGATTGTCATGTGGTCAGATGAAACCAAAGTAGAACTTTTTGGTATAAACTCAACTCGTCGTGTTTGGAGGAAGAAGAATACTGAGTTGCATCCCAAGAACACCATACCTACTGTGAAGCATGGGGGTGGAAACATCATGCTATGGGGCTGTTTTTCTGCCAAGGGGACAGGACGACTGATCCGTGTTAAGGACAGAATGAATGGGGCCATGTATCGTGAGATTTTGAGCCAAAACCTCCTTCCATCAGTGAGAACTTTGAAGATGAAACGAGGCTGGGTCTTCCAACATGACAATGATCCAAAACACACCGCCCGGGCAACAAAGGAGTGGCTCCGTAAGAAGCATTTGAAAGTCCTGGAGTGGCCTAGCCAGTCTCCAGACCTCAACCCCATAGAAAATCTGTGGCGGGAGTTGAAAGTCCGTGTTGCTCGGCGACAGCCCCAAAACATCACTGCTCTCGAGAAGATCTGCATGGAGGAATGGGCCAAAATACCAGCTACTGTGTGTGCAAACCTGGTAAAGACCTATAGTAAGCGTTTGACCTCTGTTATTGCCAACAAAGGTTATGTTACAAAGTATTGAGTTGTATTTTTGTTATTGACCAAATACTTATTTTCCACCCTGATTTACGAATAAATTCTTTACAAATCCTACCATGTGGATTCATGGATTTTTTTTTCACATTCTGTCTCTCACAGTTGAAGTCTACTGTTAGATTTGTATTGTTGATTGTCATTTATGCTTAGAAATATTTACTCATATATGCTTAGAAGTGTATATAATCATTGGTGGATTGAAAGGATGTTTCATCCTAAAGTAACAGCTCTGTGTAGCATGAAGGGGGAGTGCGTTCACTCCCTCTACAGAGTGTTCCGGCATAGATTACACACCTCCTAGGAAAGGCCGTATCTTCTCTTGCTGATATATGGTATAGCAAACACACGTATATCTGTTTAAGTATAAGAGCCTTTTGTTCAGATGGACCGCTAGACTCCTGGCACCAGCTTTGGGGAGTCTTCACAGGGTCACATCTGGACCTCACACACACACACACACACACACACACACACACACACACACACACACACACACACAGTATTCTTTGTTCACATGTATACCTATGTAAGATGTCATATGTTAATGACCCTATGCATATTCATGTAACCTCAATAAAAGGAGTGCTATGGGGAGCCTGGCTGAGAGTCTGATGGAGGCTAGGTGGTGGGACGACACTTGGCTCCAGCCAGATTTCCCTCATGCATGAGTAAACCAGCCTGCTTGTGTCTTGCTTTGCAGTGTAATTATATTGTCTTCAACGTTCCAGCGGATAGGTACAAGCTACAAACCTATCATTAATTGGTCCTTCGATGCCGGAGCCCTGGGATCGCATTCACCGAGGGGGGGGAGAGGCACGCTGAAAGACTGACGTCAGCCAGGAAGTTCCTGTGGATTCGCTGTCTGTCCTTTCTCCTCGATGAATGACGATCGGCGGGATTCGAGGCTACATTACACGCTAAGCAACACCGAGTAAGTTTAAGTCTTTGCCGCTGTGTGCAGCAAAGCACGCATCCACTGTGTGAGGTTGCGTTGAAAGTCTTTATCACTGTGTGCGATAAAGCGCGTGATCACTGCTATGTAAGTCTTTGCCACTGTGTGCGGCAGAGCACGTGGTCACTGTGTGAGACTGCGTTGAGACAATAGGCCTAATTTTTGTTGGTTGTGAGTGAGGATATTTGTTGTTGTTGTTGTTGTTGTTGTGTGAGTGTGTGCGGAGTAGAACACGTGGTCTGCGACACCGACTGTTGTTGTTATCATGGTTTCTTAAGCAGCCAGGAGTGTGTGGAAAAGGCCAGCCCACATCAGCTGCTGTGCTCTGGTGGGTGGCTTTCCCCCCACCCCTTGCTGACACAAAATGTTAACTCTTTAGCTTGCCCTGTTCGACATCAGCCTGTGTGCCAAACCATTGAGGTGGATAGTTGTTAAAAGTAACCTACATTAAGCTTGTGGTTGCTCAAATTCAGTACAATGACATGTGAGGTGAAGTGATATAGGTAAATATTTAAACTCATGAAGTGCATAGAGGCACTTGACCTGTGTGGAAGACTGTCGTCTTATTATGAGCCATTGTTGAGATATACAGCACATCTGTGAAAACAACTAATATGCTGCAACTACTGTGTGATGTCGCGTTGCCGTTTTGTTTTTGTTTTTTGAGCTGATGAGCAAGCTACACATTATCAGATCAAGAGCTGTCTGAGAACTACTCAAAGAGAGGGGAAACAGAGAGTGTGCAGCGTTTCCATGAGCAGTTTTTCTGCACCTTGACTAGTGTGTGTGTAGCATCAGCATCATGTTTTTGTTTATTTGTTTTGTTGGATTAAAAATAATTAAATAAACTGGTGATCATGCCTATGGATCACCATGGCACATATCTCCAGCCATATGATTTATTTATGCAGATGAAAAAGTGAGTGTGAATGTGTCTGACATCAGTGTTTTTGTGCACTGTGCAAAAGTAATTGCCTTTGATTGTGAGTGAGAGCAGTGATTTTGCGGATCACAAGCTATTGTAAAGGAAAAAAAAAAAAAGAGTGAAAAAGAGACAAATTACATTGTAGACGAAGAAAAATAATCATAGGAAAAAGGTTTTGTGTTGATCAGCCAAAAAACAACTACAATGTCATTTTCTGCTTTAAGAAAGGATTGTTCACACAAACACAGACAGAGAGAGAGAGAGAGAGAGATGTGTGTTGATTAAGCAGTGATGATAATGAACATGTCTTAGTTTGTCACTTTCAGGTGAAAAGCAGACCTGTATCAATTTTCCACATGCAGCGGTCGGACGGAAGAAATTTATAGTTAAACATCATTGGAAACATGCAGGCCAAGTTCTGGCTGACTTATATACAGCGCAATGTGTTTCTCAACCTCACAAACTCACAAGCAAGCTCACTCCTCCCTGAAGAATGCAGCTCCAAAGCAATAACATGGCAGATAAAGAGACAGCATCAAGTCCTGAGCAAAAGTCTCAGCAAGCAGCAGCAATGTGGACAAACAGCATCAGAGAAGAGCAAACCCATCATCCTGACTGATCGGATGAATGGCACTGTGTTACAACAAGCTGCAACTTCACTATGCATGTGAAGAAAACTTTTGAGGAGAACTGAGGAGACTGTTGGAGTTTGACATTTGCCACCTGTGGAGTAAAATGGCAAGAAGAGACAGTGGAACACAGGACAAAGCTGAAGGAGAACTGCCGGCTGGGGACTGTTGCAAGTGGGAGAGGACAACAGAGTGAGAGTAAGTGGAAACACAGAGGAATGCTGTTATTAAATGTGGGAAACCAAAATTTGGGTTAGCAAATCTGGGGAAAAGAAAACTGACTGCTTAAGTTGGAAAATTGTGAAGGAGTCTGAAACAGATAGAAACATACAAAATCACACAAACAAGCAGAACATGAATTAACTTTACTAACAATTCCAAACACAAAATGACTCATGAAGACTCATAGCACATTAGTTAAGAAATGATCAATAATAGCAGAGAAGTGTGTAGGAAAGGCAGCTTTAAGAACATGCTCTGCTGGATATGCAGCTCCACAGACATGCATTAGACCTGTCTAATTACACAAACCTGCAATGAAAATTAGTT